AGTGATACTCGCGACGCGAAATCCCATGGATCCTTTGACGTTAATACCAGCGGATATAATTCGAAAAGTCACTGGCGATCTGGTTATAAGAAGTGTGAGTATCTTCTGCACGTATCCCAATGAGAAATGACGAATAAATAAATATAAATATTTAAAAAAATAAATATTTAAAAAAGTATTACCTTGGCCAGGGATCGCGAACCCGGGTCTCTTGCGAGATATCTAATATTTGCTATGATCTAACGATGAGGATGCTCGCAAAATGCAAGAGATTCGGGTTTAATCCCCGGCCGAGGTAATATTTTTCGCAATAAGTTTTTTATAGGTTTCAAGATGATTTGAAGGAGTGTAAAAATGGCTAAAATTGGCCCTGAATGGACATCTTTAGAATCTATGCAGTTGTCATTTTGAAAATCCGTACATTTATGGAAAAATCTTTATTTATCCAGGGAAGCTTGGGAAACCTTCCAAAAATAATAAAATAAGTCGTTTAAACACTCTGCAAAGAAACTCATTTTGTTTCTAATAAACATAATGATCAGATAGATTTCAAAATTAATGGTATGTTTATATTTAACACAAGTTGGATCGTGAAAAATACTACGCTGTACAACACTATGAAGATCTGCGGAAAACGAACAAGTTGTCCGATCCGAGGTTATTCTCTCATCGAACGGAGTATATATATATATATAGAGGATATCCCATTTCAAACTTCGCGTCGAAATATCTCGTAAAATATAAAAGATACGGAAAAATGTTTAATAAAAATTTTATTACTTCAAGGGGAACATAAGATGGTACCATCGGTTTGATCTTGGGTGACGTTGTTAAGGTCACTTTAAATTTTTTAAGTGGAACTCCCCATTTTTCAGTACATGTTCTTGTACCTTACCTCTCGAGAGTTTTTCAAAGCATTATAATAAAATACTTTTTCATGAAGTATTTTTCGAGTTATAAGGTTTGAAAGTTACAGTGCCGCCGGCATTAGCATTACGCAAGGTGTCTGACCGACGGCTAAAACCTCTTAAATGTTGTTCAAAATCATGACCTAGATAATATTTATTAAAATCAAGATTATTGGAGATTTCTCTTATTTTAATTTATGCATGAAAATTTGTTTTATGTAAAAATGAAAATAATAGAAACAATCTTCAATGATCTTTATTGTGTTGAAAGTCCAAAAGTAATCGATGCGCAGTTATTTCTGAGATAAAATTTATTTAAATTATATAGATATATGTATTAATTTAAAATCTAACTGATCGAAAATGACGCCTTCATATTTAGGTAAAAAAAATTAAATTGTATAATAAAGTGTTTGAGTTATAAAAATAAATGCATAAAAACGATGTAAAAATATGCCAAAATACAATTTCGAATTTCTCTGTTTAGTAGACGAAGAACAACTGCTCGGCCATATCTCCGAGGCTCCAGTCATAAAGCGCAGTCCAACGTCGCAAGCGTCCAGTCCATCTAATTCGTTGCAATCTCCGGCTATGCCGCGAAAAATTAGCATTCGTGTGGATAATAACGAAATCGAAAATGATGGATGTCATCTGACAATACCGAAAGTAATAGCCGTGTCGTCCAGTTCCGAGACACTCACAGGTATGAATATGTATTTGTATTAATATGTAACGTATTAATATGTAAACTCGCAAAGCTACAGAATTTGAATTAAATATAAAAAATTAATATAATGTTATTGTTAAATTTAAATGTAGTGCAGATTTTAATTATAATATTTAAAGACAAAAAGAAAGAAGAAATTTCTTAATATTTTTATATTATGTAATTTTAAAAAGGGGAGGAGAGGAAGGAATATTACGAGACTTATTATAAGCGAAATTAATTTGGATCTTTTAACGTATATATATATATATATATTCCATTTCTTATTTGATAAATTTATAAAATGCTGTTGATATGTGAAAGAAATTTGGAATTTAAGATGTTACAGCAATCAGCGCACCATCTTCACCGAGCAACTTGAGTTCTGTGACACTAGTTGGTTCGACGGAATCTGGATCCGGATCTGGATCTGGATCCGATCCGAGTCCTCAAGAGGGAGGTATTTACTCACGTCGCGTCTCGGAAATTGATACACCTGGCACTGCAGAAGAGGATGCAAAAGGTACAATTAAATTTCATAAAAATATTAATCTATATGTAAAAAAAAAGTTTGCAATTAGAAAAAAGAATTCGATTAGGTGTTAACTCATTATAATTTGATTATGCCACTTGTTCCTTTAATTAAATGTGTAGGGTGTATCAATAGTTGTTACAACTTTAAATATTTTCGAATCTTGTTTAATAAAAATTGCACGTTGCAAAGAATCTATCATATGAGGGCAAAAAATTTCCAGATGGATTAAAAAATTTTAAAATTAGCTTTGTTTTTTAAAATGGAATTATGATTTTTTGCATAATACAATTCCTCTATTCAATATTAACTCTTAATACTCGGATGCGCCGCGGCACTGAATAAAATTTATTTTTCTGAAATATCATTAATAATGCAGGTTTTTTTAAAATTTTTAACGATTTTAAATGATCTTCGATATTCTTCATTTAATGTTAAATTTTAAAAACAAAATAATTAACAAAGGATTACGAGTCAAGCAGGATTGTCGTGCTATAAATTTAATATTAATGTTTCGACTCGCATCGAGTCATCTTTAGTGCAAACTTCATATTGGTCAATACATGGTAAATCTCAGAAGTTTTAAAAATCTAGCACACTTTTTAAGTAAATTTGGACGCCAAAAATTAATCCAATAAACATAAAAAACGGAATAATAACACGCATGTCTTAGTCTGTGTAATTAAAATTAAGAAATCAATATATTATGAGCGCAAAAATTTAAAAACGAAATACTTAACAAAGGATTACGAGCTAAGCAGAATTGTCATACTATAAATTTATTGCACGACAAATTAAATTAAATTTGAATATTATATTTTATTATATCATATATATATTTTACTTGCTTTTGACAATTGTCTAATTATTTTTTCATTATAATTATTATAACCCCTAAATAATAAATTTGTAATGCGGCATTCAGTGCCGCACGCGCCAAATTAACGTTTGGCCGGAAAGTGTGTCCAGTTAAGGATAAAATATTAAAAATAAAAGAAACTTAATAAGGAATCTCAAAATTCAAAATTATTAGAAAAATAAAGCAAATGAGAGTACGGAGTATTCGGTACTTGGTGCGCAAAAATTCGCAAATCAGATTAATAAATTAGACGATTAATAAATTAGAATATTAATATAGTTAGTTTGCTTAAAAGTCGAATGTTTCGGCTACCACTCTCACCGCTAAATGTAGTCAATATTTAGCGTACAAAGTTGGCGTATATATTGGCTATATTATTTGGAAGCGCTGGAGATCCTAAGTGAATCTGTTTTATCAAATTTAATTTTTTCAAACAAGTATTTTTCTTTACAAACAAGTATTTTCAAACAAGTGCCTTTACAGATTAAAAAATTCTTTTCCATAATTAAAATATAAATGATAATGTAGCTCAAATCGATCGACTTTATGTTAAAAAAGAAAAGAAGGAAAATTACAGTTTTGTTACCGACTTTTAACGTCGACTCATATAAGTTTTATACTTATAACTTATACGTAATACAAAACAATCTCGGAGATTACATGAACAATCAGTGTTGAGTATTTTGAATTAGCTTTAGATACTTAATATGAAAGATTAGTTAGAAAATTTGTACGTGTGTGTGTGTGTGTGTGTGTGTGTGTGTGTGTGTGTGTGTGTGTGTGTGTGTGTGTGTGTGTGTG